CAGTAGGGTGGCTTCATGAAAGGCTAGGCAGGCATACAGGCAGAGAGAGTGTTTGCTCAGAAACCGATTGGTTCCTCCATCTCTGCGATTTCTTCTGTTTCTATTTGCTACAGGGGTCTCTTCCTCCCTAGAACTTCATTATCCTCAACATTTGACTGCCCATTATTTGTTTGTGGGGGGATTGCTGTTAGGCCGGTTCTCCTGTTTTAATGACCCAGAGTACCACAAAGTCCAAATTCCACCAAAGGAAGAGCTTTGCTTTCCTCAGTGCAGGTCCACTTAAATTTTTTTTTAAAAAAGTATACTTTTACACCCCAGGACTTAAAATAGCAAGCTGCACAAGTAAAACCTGGCCCATAGTTAGGATTCAGTTCTATGCTATTCTCCCAGAAATGCCCTTGGTATTGTGCTGGTTCTCTGTAGTGTACAGATGTTCCATTCCACTAGAGCTCCTTCCAGGTATTATTTATATTACAGTAACATGTCCCCCCAAAAGGTAGAAACTTCTTTGAGTTGAGCACACCTCCTAGCTGACTTCAAGGGTGTATCTAGATGGTTTTCCTGGCAATAAGTGGGAAGTAGTTTTCTACTGACTTTCAGGATGCTTCTTTGAGTTCTTAGTCTAGTCTACAAACTAGAACCTGCAAGAAGCCCAACTCTGCTTCCTTTGTTTTTCACATCAGCCAAGGTCAGCTGAGTACCACCTCTTGACCAAATGGGAAGGCGTGAAGGACCTCTAGCTTAGATATCATGCATCGAGTGGCATTCATGACAGGTACTGGCAGTATCTGCAGCTAAGGAATCTTCATACCTGTACCTAGAAGGCTCCATGAGGAAGCCCTCTAATTTTGAAAGACAGCAGAAAACCATAATAAACAAACAAACAAATAAATAAATGGTATACAAAGGCCCTTTCTGTATAACTTCCCAACGCAAATATGAATGCCAGGTGGAGAGATTACTTGAAGCATATAGTCTTGAAACAGAGCTACTAACTACCTAGTTTACAGAATTAATCTGATTTCTGAGGTCACATAATGCACTGAAAAATAAACTAACCAAACTAATCCATGTATTAACCAAATGGGCTGGGTTTGTGCTAGGGCCCGTATCCAATCTAGGTGAACATTAATCAAACGTAGCATGCTGTGTGCATGTATCTGCTACATCTTTGCTTGACTTATTTAAGGATCTTGTGTGAACACAGCCACTGTGTCCTTCTTTAGTAGTGGGGTAAATAATACTGAACAGGGCTGATTTCTATTATGAACACAGTTGGAGTCAATGTTAGCCAGCAATGGCTTCGTATTTTATAAGCGGGTATGGCAAATTTGTTTCCTGTCCAATCTCATAGGCCATGTGTGTCTGGAATTGGCATTTTCTTTTTGATAGACCCAACATCTTCCTTAATAGACTCTTACTCTGTTCTTTACCAACAGGAGAGTCAAGATGTAAGAGAGGAGCGCTGCAGGATGCTTCTCGGTAGAAGCCAGAGATATCCCACTATTAGGGAATGATTTTATATGCAGCACAATGTTTCATGCACTTCCTGAATTTCTTTTTTGCACAGAATGCCTTGTCTTTGCCAATATTGTTTGATGTAGCAGGAACTGATACTGCTTGATTTTTTGTAATCACTAATTCCAGTAGCAGCAAGTTGTATGAAGCAGAATATTAATCCCCTTCTGCTGTGCAGAATCTGGGCACTGACACCTTGATATGTTTGCATGGGGAAGAACTAGGGAGGGGGGAATACTTTTGGGAGAATTATTCAAAGGATGAGGTGTAGTGGCCAAGACTGTGTTATGTCAATGGCTGTTTTTTGCATATGCAAGAATTATAAATGGTGTTCATGTAGCAGGGGAGGTATTCAGATACGCTTCCCCCATCATGAATGAAGATTGAAAAAGGACCGTTATTAGAGAGTAAGAGACATAGTCAGCATTCCTAATATCTTCATTCACAATCAGAGATTGAGTACATATAGAACAGTGTTTCTCAACCTTAGCAACTTTAAGATGTGTGGACTTCAACTCCCAGAAGTTCCATGCTGGCTGGGGAATTCTGGGAATTGAAGTCTACACATCTTAAAGTTGCTAAGGTTGAGAAACACTGATGTAGACTATTTTGATTTCTTCTCAGGGAACCTGATCCAGGCCATTAATGACCAAAATGTGTGAACCACAAGCTTACATATTTCAATAGTGGCAACTTCTAAACCTTTTAATGGACATTGTGGACTACAGTATAAAATAGCAGAGCATTTTTTTTTAGTTGTGGTAAAAAGTAGCTTTTGAGAGTCAGCCTACATTACATTAAATGCAAAGCAAGATGTCTTCATAGCCACTTTCTTTTTACTTAAAAAGAAATATAGTGCCTCCTAACACAAATCTGTACCACTGAGAGGTAATTTTAATCCTTTCTCCCTCTTTTAATCACCCAAAGAGCAATAACATATTGCTGTCCAGCATACAAAAATGGTGGCAGTGGAATTGTTATTGGTGACTTTGATGGCCTTTAAATGCAGCTTTGAGTCTTAATTTAAGGACCTCCTGTTCTTAAATTGGTTTCTGCCCTTTTCACTTTGTCCCCCCCCACCATTCCTTACCAGAATAACCAGCCAAGAGAGGGAGGAAAAATGCCTAACCCCCCACCCTGCTTGAAGTGAACAAAAGAAATCTATGTTGTACCCCGATTAACATATATATGTCAGGGAGCAAAGGAAGAAATGCACATTAAGATGTCACAATGTAAACTTCATGATTTATGTACTTGTACATCTTTCATTAGGGCACAAGAACAAGAAGCTGGGGTGGTTCCTGTTGTGATGTCGAGACATACATTTTGTTATTTTTTTGACTCTGTGGTTTGTGCCAGATGGAGCCTAACATTAATGGGAATGAATTAATTAGAATTAGAATTTGAACTCACAAAGAGGGATGATATTATTTCTAGAAGCAAAATGTAGAAGGGATGAACCTCGTGTACCTATGAGGTTCCTATGAGACCCAAATTTTATCTTCTGAACAGTTGGAAGATGGCTTGGTAGATGTTAATGAGAAAACAACCAGATACCAGCATTCGGATTTACATATTTGTCATACGCGTATCTGAAAATGCTGTCATCTGAATAATTTGTATGGAGCCTCTGCATTTAGCTAAGGATGAGCAACTTCCATATTCAGTATTTGAATCCAGTTCACGGTGGGATAAATAGGAAAGTACTTGTTTAAACTGCCCCATGAACAATCTTTGTATTGCTGTATTAACCCTAATATGCAAAAATATTTACCTTTCTTGTTCAAAATGAAATGCCAAAGATGAATTAGTACTAGGTAATCTGTCTTAATCAGCATATTCAAACACATTTTTCCCAGTATTTTCCATCTACAGATTCAATATACCAAAGCAGAGACATATCAGTTCGTTACTGCTGAAGAATCGTAAGATGTTTTGCTCGTATCCTGGGGAGCAATTTCTTGTAGCTAGGGGCTGAAACATTGATTTTCAGGAGCTTGCGGCCCTGAAGTAGGTGGAACCATATTTTGCAGGGAATCTTTTGAAGGTTTTTTATGATTTTCAACTGTGATGTGCCTTGTTTGGGGGTTTACACTACAGTGTTTGTGTGTTCCCCACCTCAAAGTAAACTATGCAGTGAGTTTTCAGTAGCTACAATAATAATAAGAATAATAAAAAAAGGACTGCAGTCAAGGCAGCCCCAGATTATCCACCAATGAGTTAGATGATGGGACTTTGGGAGGTGTACCATTGTGGACTGGTGGAGGTTCAATCATATCTAACACTGCAGGCACGTGCACACGCACATACACACTTGCAACCTTCTAGCCGTATCCATTCCACACATAATTGCATGCTTCTGGCCCTAAAGGATATAATGAGATTATTCTGCACGTTCTGCTACAGTCCTAAACACGCTTGGCAAAGTTAAACACTATTCAACTCAAAGTAATCCAACCTTACTTTGGATTATGTAGGATTCTATGTTAATAATAGGAATTTGCTGGGCAGCTAGTACATTTGGAGGCTATGCTACGTATTGAGAATGCTAATTAATGCTTCCTATTCTTAATTATGCTTTTACTAAGGAGGAAATGAATTTAGCATTCAAAAAAACATCTCAGAACACACAGGAATAGGGTCGAAATTCCAGATGCTCCAAACGGATGTATTGGAGCAGTTGAGGGGGGCATCTGTACTCAGTGCTTGCCCAAGGGTATTGATAGTCAAAGATCAATATTTTTGTTTCTCAGTAACCTATTTAAAAAAAGGCATGAAAACTGCAAGAGATAAGATGTTTCAGCAGACACTTAGGTAGGCAAGGTAAAAAAACGGGCACATTACTGGGTTACAGAAATCATGTCCCTGGCATTGCCCCCTTGGCCTACATTCATGCAGCAATTTCAAAAGCCCTTGGGAAGAGATTGGTTTCGATCCTGCCCTGCTGTTGCTTAGGATAGAGAAAAGAAGGCACATGAGAGAGAGGCAAGCGAGGATCAGATGACACCTTGGTTTGGCCTGTCTCAGCCCCATCTCAAACGCACACGAGCAACCGATTCCCTAAGGAAGAACGCAACTGTCACACCTTGAAGGAAGATCGGACCAGAGTTCAATAGCGTGGATCGTTTTCAGGGCAAGCAGTAGTTAATGCTGTCATTCTATGGATGACCTAATTGGCACGCCCACAGGTTTTCCCAAAATAATGTGAAAAAAAACTTTTCATCTTGAAAAGAAAATGTATAACTACTTTATGCTATCTGTTTTGTAAATATACGTATTTGCAAAGTATGTAAGCACATGTTAATTTCTGAATAAAGTTTGTATTCAATTTTATGTATCCTTACCGTAAGTAGTTTATGTCTTTGTGTCAGATCTCTGCATACAAACCCCTCTTTAATGGATAACTTCTGTTTTTGCTACCGGTCAGCCTATTTTCTCACTGCCATTCCTGAGGGCATTTTTAAGGATCACAATTTCTCTGAGTTGCACTGATGTTGCAGATCTAGACCAATGTTTTTCAAACTTGGTAACTTTAAGATGGGGGGCTGGCTGGGGAATTCTGGGAGTTGAAGTCCACACATCTTAAAGTTGCCAAGGTTGAAAAACATTGGTCTAGACCATATCTACTCAGCTGCTTTATCAGGTTCCCTTCCCATCTCTTGCCGTGCACCAGGTTGTGCTGCTCTTCGTATTGTTTTAATATGACATTCCTAGGCCCATGATTGGTGGGTCGCTTGGCTGAAGCTCCAGTTCCCTACAACATCCACTGTGTGAAAAGCCTCCTCCAGCTGGCATGCACGGTGTTCTGTGCACTACGTTTTTTTCTTTTTTCCCCATCATACTATCCACTGATTGAGCATTTTTTAAAAATAAAATATCTTACAATTATAGATTGACCATCTGGTTGTTCAACCACTAGGGGTCAGCAAAGCGTTAAAGGGTTTTTTTAATCACTTGGCTGCCATCTAGTGATTACCAGATTTGTACAGCTGGGGTGCAACCACTGGATAAGTGTTCAGGAGTTGGAGTTTGAGAAAGTAAGTTCACTGGGGAAATTGGTATAGGACCTGTAAAGTATCCTAAACACATCATTTGAGGAGTGAAATCAAGAAGCCAGGTCTTCTCTAGGAGCAGCGGCGGCCACTGGAAAGGGAATTCACCACCACACAAGCTACAGATATATAAGAGCTTAGTTCTTTCAATTAAGCCAGGGAATGGCTGGTCAGACCTGGGGTTCTGGTCTCCATAGCAATACCAGCATTGTGGAAGGGGTGCCACATCCAGCAACAAGACAGAAGGGGCAGGCCCAAAGCACACCTGCCAGACCATTTGGGGCTAATCAGATTGCTGTCCCCATCTGCATTACCTCAAAAGTCATCCACGTGCCATGGATTGTCCAGATGGGAGGTCTTGTGGCGGGATAGAAGGGGAAACACAATTTCTAGAATGTAGCACCAGAATTTGTCTTCAGGTTGCCTCAGCTCCTGGCTGATGGTGGAATACAGGTCCTGGCATGAGTACATGTCCTCAGGAAGTGGTGAGAGAGGCAGTGTCATGGCAGGACAAGGAGGCTGTGTGGATGCACTTAGCCTTGGATCCCTATTTCTTGACTGCTCTAGAACTTAGCAAAAAACTGAAATGTACCTCAAACTCAGCATTTGAGGCCTGCATACTGTCTCGGCCAAAATAAACTTCAGCTGGACTATGTAAATTTTTTATCTAACACACTCAGGTCAGCTTCGCTGTTGGTCTATACCATGTTCCATTTGCTAAATTGATTGCAGGCCTAGTGAGTAATAGATTACTGGCCTACAGTAGTGATTAATAGTTAGGTTCTATTCCTCTGGTTCCCAGAGAGGAGAGGTTGTACATCCCTTGCTTTGGCCTGAATCATGAATTGGCTGAGGAAAAAAAATGATGAGTTGTCTGAGAAAAAAAAAGCAGTGTTAAGAGTCCAGATTGTGGTAGAAGCATCACTAAGCTTAAAAACAATGAAATTACAAAATAAAAGGCTTTTCCAGAGCAGTCCTGCAGAATAAACTGGTGATGTGGATCCATTTTGGCACTGAAATATACAGAAACCAAATTGCAGTGGAAATAATGCATTAAGATATTAGCTTGGTTGAAACATTTTGCCTGAACTGTTAATTCCAAATTGTTCTGACCCCATTCTCAGTATCCTTGTGCTATATCCTACAGCCTTCTCTACTTCACAGTCCTTCTACATGTTTCCTCTCTATTGCCCTCTAAGGGCACTGAATGATTTGTTTCCAACATCAGTTTCCATCGTAGCAGAAATAATGTGTAATATTATATGCTTCATTTATAAGAAGTTGCTTGTGCATACTAGTTCATCCATAGCAGTGTAGGAATGTAAATTAAAATTCATATATAACACACAGAACAAGCTAATTAACACCATGCCACAACAACAATAACAAAAGCTTTTCATGTATTTTGTTAATGACCTTCAATGTCCAATTTCACTGAAGGAACACTGTGGCTGTGAAGGGCCATGTCCTTATCAAAAATGTTATTTGGCCAATAACTGCATGGAATAGTATCCAATACTCTGATTAATCCCAGCTTCTCTGCCTTCATGGAGCTGGAAGCCTATCAATGGTGAAGAGGTAACAAATTTGTCTGCTCACTGGAATCCATGCTCTGAAACTCCGATTCTGCTATTGACAGCCATCCAGAGATAAAGGTAGAATTGCCAGTGATTATTGATTGATTGTGAAATGAGCAAAGATCAGTGGCAGAAACAGAAAGATTGTACAGGTAGTCCTCGCTTAACAACCAAAATTGGGACTGGCAACTTCATTGTAAGTGATGCAGTCATTAAGTGAGACATCACGTGACTGTGATGGACTTATGACCTCACTTCTGCAGTCATTAAATGAATCATTGTGGTCATTAAGTGAGACATCATGTGGACCCTGACTTATAATTTTACTGCCGGCTTTTCCATTGATTCTGCTTGTCGGAAGCCAGCTGTGAAGCATGCAAATGGTGATCACGTGACTGTGGGATGCTGCGATGGTTGTAAACACCTGCCAGTTGTGAAGTGCCCAAATCTCGATCACGTGACTGCAGGGATGCTGCAACGGTTTGAGGACGGGTCGTAAAGTTATTTTTTCAGCACTGTCATAACTTTGAACAGTCACTAAATAGGGCAGTTGTTAAGCAAGGACTACCTGTAAGTCGTAACATAAACTTAATGTAGCTTCTTTTTTTTTTTTTAAAGAAAGCTTTCAATTGCTTCTCC